TGATTTTTGCATCCGTTAAAGCATTATAAAATATACGTTTTTTCCTTATTTTTTGTATACATTTTTTCCCACTTTTCCGTATTAAGTTTAAGGTTTTTACCTAAGAAAAAAACGTATATATTATACTGATTTTTCATAAAAGTTATACGTTATAAAACTTAATATTTTTATGAAATTTTTATATCAAATTTTTTATTAGGCAGGTAACAATCTTTATGAAAAAATAGAAAAATCTAATAAAGAACGAGAGGAATTAATGGCTCAATTAGCTGCATATAAAAAATGAATTGCACCTTATGATTTACAATTTAAACCTAATAGTTCTCCAATGATATAGTGGTATTGTGTAGAAGATGCTTTACCAAAAGATTGTAATCATATTGCTCAACTTGCTACAAAACTTTTCTCAATAACTCCATATGCAGCTGCATGTGAAAGAGTATGGTCATTTCTTGGATAATTTTATGGAAAGTGTAGAACTAGACTTTGTTTAGAAAAGGTTGAAAAAATGCAAAAATTAGCCGCATTTTATTTTATAAATACAAAAAAAAACTGTTATCTTATGGTAATGGAAAAACTAATAAAGAATTACAATCTATTTTGCATAATGCAAATTTGTATGAAGATGATGAACTTGAAGCAGAATCGGATGAAAAAATAGATGATATATATATATCAGAAAGTAGTGATAATAATAGAGAAGATATAATTCATTTAGATCAAATTTTAAATCTTGATATACCAGAGATCTTGAAAGATCTTGATGAACTTATTGAAGATTTAAATATAGATTTAGAAGAAGAAACTAATGATGATAATGATGTTAAAAATGATACTATAGAAGCAAATAGTGCAGGAAAAGATTGGGACTCTAATTTAGTAGTTGAAGCTTATTTATAGATTATTTTTATACATTTATAAGTTTTCGTTTTAATAAAATTTTTTTACATTAAATACTTTATATAATTTGATTTAAAAAATTATACAAAAATTATAATAATTAATATATTAATATAACCAATAAAAATATTTTGATGAGTTTCGTCAGTTTCAATAAGTTTTGTCAATTTCAGAAAGTTTTGAAAGTTTCAGAGGTTTCAGAATTTGAAGGATTTAGCAAAACTATTTTCGCCAAGTTTTAGAATCAACCTTTGGCAAAACTCATAGGTTTCGCTTATAATATTACTTACAGTATATATAAGAAACTAATTAGATAATAATATAGTATAAATTGTAATATTTTAACTATAACTTCTTTCTGTCTTCTCACTTTTATTTTAACATATTTCATATAATTGCAAATAATTGCTATATTAATATATATAATTAGAGTTTCGGATGAATCAAATTAACTCACGAGTCAGATAAGCTGAGTTGAGTTTAAATTAAGTCAAGTTTATGTTTTTTTAACTCAATGATTTGCGAGTCATGCCAAATTCAAATTGAGTTAAATATTTACCTCAATTCGATTTAAACTCAACTTGATTCAAGTTGACTCAAGTTGACTTGAATGATAAAAAATCATTCAAGAAGAACGATAAGAAATCGTTCAACTTGAATGATAAGAAATCGTTTGACTTGAATGATAAAAAAATCGTTCAAGAAGAATGATAATTAAATAGTTCAACTTGAACAATAAAAAAATCATTCAAAAAGAATAATAATGAATTGTTTGTCTTGAACGATAAAAAAATCATTCAAAAAGAACAATGATTGAATTGTTCAACTTAAACAATAAAAAATCATTCAAAAAAAATGATGATTGAATCATTCGACTTAAATAATAAAATTGTTCAAGAAGAACGATGATTAAATCGTTCAATTTAAACAATAAAAAAATCATTCAAGAAGAATAATAAGAAATCATTTGACTTGAATAATAGAAAAAATCATTCAAGAAGAATGATGACAAATCATTCAACTTGAATAATAAAAAAAATTGTTCAAGAAGAATGATGACCTAAATCGTTCAACTTGAATGATAAAAAAAATCATTCAAGGAGAATGATGACCTAAATCGTTCAACTTGAACAATAAAAAAAATTGTTCAAGAAGAACAATGATGAATTGTTTGACTTGAACGATAAAAAAATTATTCAAGAAGAATGATAACCCAAATCATTTAACTTGAACAATAAAAAAATTATTTAAGAAGAATAATAATATAAATC